ATGTGAGCGTCAGCCTTGTTCGCTGTCAACAAAATTATTAATTGTCCATCAGAATGAACTCATCGTGGGACATAAATGCATTTTTACACATCAGTTTCTTTTTGTCGTTTTTGAAAGTTAGAATTGCGTCTTTTTTCTTAAATGTATATAAACAAGAAATTTTTAGATTAAAATACCTTAAATCTATATAGATTTAAGAAAATATTTTCTTAAATCTTTTCATATCTATAGCGATTTTGACCGTGTATATTCCTTATTAGGTCAAGGTAAAGCAGAGGCCAATATTGTTTATTACTTATTGTCTATAGCCATTGATTTACAAAACACTGGGCTTGTTTAATAACGGTGGGAGGGCTAAGAACATAAGAATAAAGTTAACTGCAGAAAGCCTATTGGCCCATACGAGGTTCTATCTATAATCACCCAATCCCACTCATATATATGTCCAACCCACTCTTGAAACAATCAAGGGATCCCAACACCACGTTACGCGGTAATTGGTTCCTCAAATCAACTACCCTGTTACCGAACCGGTATTTACCCAGGTCTTTCATAAATCTAAACTTATCTAATATATACCCATTGTTTCGTGTTCTGTCTTGTGTTGATACTTTTAATACTCTATTAATATCCCTTCTTTCTTATGTCCAGTCATCTACGTGTACACCTCTATCATGTTACCAATAAGTCTTACGCCTTTCTAGAGAATGTAATTTAAGCTTTATCAATCTTTCTTTTTATGACAGGTTTCTAATTGGGGAATTTTAACTTTGTCATGCTAAGTGGACGCGTTCTAGTGTATTTATATCTATAGTACGGCGACCAAACTGAACTGCATAATCTAAGTGGGGCCTAACCAGAGCAAGATATTGCTGAAGAACAACACCAGGTGTCTTCTTAATAACGCTACGATTAATAAATCCTAAGATTACCAGTGTACATAACATATATTGTGGGGACCCATAGCCTCGGAGAAGAAAATAAAAAGTATTCAGAGGAGACCTTGTGGTTTCTCACTGAACACTAATATTATCTTCTCCTATCACCCCCACTCTTTTGTATGTACACATATACATTTACTTTATTTGAACTTGTATTTGTAGCATGTATTTGTATACGTTTGTCTATAATTTTTCTTTTTAATCCTATGCCGAACTCTGTCACTTTGCTCTCCATGACTTGCTTTTCTTTTCCTTACCTGAACTTCTCCTGTTCTGCTTCCCTCCCTCTCCCACTTACCTAAATTCCTAATCCATCCCCTTGCTTACCTCTCTTCATCTGCCACTTCCCTGTTAATTTCTATATTTCCAATTTCCTCTCTCCCTCTCCCACTTGCTTGCTTCCTTCTCTCCTCCCATCTCTCTGCTTACCTCCCTTCCTCTCCCAGTTTCATTCTCTCTTCCTTCCCGCTGCTATCTCTCCCACATTCATCCCTGAGATTAAGTCTGTGCGACTTAAGTTGGTGGCTTCGGCACATTACCATACCTTCTGGTCATTTAGCCAGAGCCGGTGAAGGATGCATTCCCCCCTCCCTGTTCCTCACGCCGCTTCCCCCTCCCCACCCCCCTTCCCCCCTCCCCATGGCACCTCCCCACTCTCCTTCCTCACGCCTCCCCACGCCCTTTTAATTATCCGCCTCCCGCGCCTTCCTAACACCACGCTTGCATTAATGATCAGGGACGGCAGGAGAAGCAGTGGGTGGAGGCGGGATAGTGAATGGGGGATAAAAGGAAGGGAATGTGAAGTAATGGGATTAGAAATAAAGGAAATAAAGAGAAGGTGAAAAGTAGGAGATTGGGGGGGGGGGAATGGAAAGTATTGGAGGAAACAGCGAGAGAAATTAAGAGAAAGGCGAACAGTGAAAAATTTGGGAACTGTAGTAAGCCGAGTGACAGCAGCAGCACTCCGTCAAGGGTGGTAGCAGCACCCCGTCAAGGGTGGTAGCAGCACCCCATCAAAATGACGGCAGCAGCATCATCTGCCGTCTTCTCCTGTCAATGAGCCGGCAGCAGCATCCCGTCACAAAACTGGCAATTAATCGGGCAATCGCACCCCACCAAGATTAATTTCTGTAATCAATTCCACCCAGAGTCAGTCCCAGTCTTCGTCTAAAAGTCTCAAGCGAGTAAAGCCGTATCCAAGTTTCAGACTTAACCAGTCAGGAGCAAACAGGATGCGAGGCGCGTGATACATCTCTCAAGATTCGGTCCGAGCAACTCTTGCGGAGGTAAACGCCAGGTCTTATGAATTAGGATGTCTACAGATCTAGAGGGAATGTACGGTGGAGGGTGCTCAAGGGGTGTCGAGGTGTACTACACGAAGCAAGATTCCCAGTGAACACAACGTAACCAAACTGTTGTACCTGTGTTGTGTGTGTGTGTGTGTGTGTGTTTGGCGAAGTCGAGCTTTCCGCCAGGGATTGGTGATTACAAAATTTATCGTTAATGGTAATGTATTATTTCTCCGTTGAGATGAGGATAAGGGGTTCAGCGCCAGCGTTGGCTCTTGCTAGATCTGGGTTCGATTCCCGATGGCCCAAGTAGCTGGATACCAGTTTTTCACTGCGTTCTCACATCTATGAACTCGTATTGTATGCAAGTGTTTATATTAATGCAATTTACTGTTGTAAATGTCGCATAACGTAAACTATGCTAGGAAAATTACCCCCTCCTACACACTTCACAATTATAAACAGTGTAAAAAAATATACTGTTATATACACTAATTTCTGGTATATGCTAATATATTCCCTAATAAGCTCCTAAATTCAGTAACCTGCTTTGCTAAGTGAATATTGAGTATCATCAATTACTCATGGGAATCTGTAACTGTTCATCACAGCCAACACGATAAAAATGGAATAGCTCTGTAATCCCTCCATCACCGCCCATTCAACAGAACTCTTGTGGCTCTGTAATCCCTCCGTTGTCACCCACACAACAGGACTCTGGTGGCTCTGTAATCCCTCCATCGTCACCCACACAACAGAACTCTGGTGGCTCTGTAATCCCTCCATCGTCACCCACACAACAGGACTCTGGTGGCTCTGTAATCCCTCCATCGTCACCCACACAACAGAACTCTGGTGGCTCTGTAATCCCTCCATCGTCACCCACACAACAGAACTCTGGTGGCTCTGTAATCCCTCCATCGTCACCCACACAACAGAACTCTGGTGGCTCTGTAATCCCTCCATCGTCACCCACACAACAGAACTCTGGTGGCTCTGTAATCCCTCCATCGTCACCCACACAACAGAACTCTGGTGGCTCTGTAATCCCTCCATCGTCACCCACACAACAGAACTCTGGTGGCTCTGTAATCCCTCCATCGTCACCCACACAACAGAACTCTGGTGGCTCTGTAATCCCTCCATCGTCACCCACACATCAGAACTCTGGTGGCTCTGTAATCCCTCCATCGTCACCCACACAACAGAACTCTGGTGGCTCTGTAATCCCTCCATCGTCACCCACACAACAGAACTCTGGTGGCTCTGTAATCCCTCCATCGTCACCCACACAACAGAACTCTGGTGGCTCTGTAATCCCTCCATCGTCGTCCACAACAGAACTCTGGTGCCTCTGTAATCCCTCCATCGTCGCCTACCTGGGGAAAATCGTGTATATAATAAATGACTAAACTAAATAAAAAGAGCTTTCTCTGCACGCAACTGCAGCGTCTTTCTCAACGTTTCGTAAACTCGGAGAAATATTTTATGATACAGAATTTTATTGTCTTTCTGCCTACCTGTTTATCTTCGTTGCCTCCTTCCACTTTTTGTCGTCTCTACTCCTCATTGACCGTCGTCGTCTCCACTCGCATGTTTTAATAGTCATTATCATACTCATTTACTGTGGTTTGGACTAATAAGTGAAGAGGAACCCTTCTTGTCGTAATTAGTCTCACATCACAAGACTTTATATGCAAACCTAACTCAGGTTTAATTATGTCTCTCGGTCTCATTTGTATGCATCTTTATCATCCTTTGTGATAACTACCTTCCAACCAATTAGCTTGAATTCATAATTCACCAGTTGGTTTCATAATTGTTTACTCGTGTTCATAACTGTTTAAACGTTTTTAAAAGTTTTGACATGCACTTTGATTTCTTCATTTATATTTTGAATTCTTCACTCCTTTTCATAAATCTTTACTGGATTTCATAATTCTTCATGCACATATACGCGCAGGGTATGCGTATACACTCATTAAAGTCGATGCGTGAAGTTTTTTGTCAGGAATATGTGAACACAGTGTATAAGCCAGCACATTCTCCCAGCCTGTCCTCATCAACAAAGGCCAAATACTCGTTAATCCAGCCACCAAACCCTCTGCTTATGAATGAAAAACGGTTTACATAGGACTCACAGCTGCTGACGTATTTACCTTTCTCCAGCAGTGCTTTGCTGGCGATCTCTGCTCGAATCGCGTCTGCAAATGCATCACTTACGCACTACAAACACAAATACTCGCCAGCAGAACCTAAATATCTAACCTACGTCTAACTATACATTGAATTTTGTTAAATAATTTGTGTGTAACATTTTTATTAAACTGTTAAAAATTGATAAATGTGTGTTGGGGGACGGCCGCTACTCTAACGAGCCTGAGGACGGGTTGATTCTCAACTCAGAAAGCCTGGTCTAAGTCTTGTTGATAGCCTTGCAAGTTCTTAGGTTCGTACTTTCCTCTTAGACGTGACAGCAAAGGAGTCCGCCCCACTCCCCTCCCTCTCTCTCTCTCTCTCTCTCTCTCTCTTTCTCTCATTCAATTTCTCTTACGCTCACTCCCCCCCCCTCTCTCTTTTTCTCACTTTGACTATTATTCTCACTCGCACTATTTCTCTCCTTCCTCCCTCCCTCCCTCTCTAACACTCATTTCTGTCTCCCTCCCTTCCTCCCTCCCTTCCTCTCTCCGTCCCTTCACATAAACCGTCGTGCAAGAGTTTAAAGTATACCAGGACAAAACTGATGGTTCAGCAGAATGGGGGAACTGACCTGAGTATGCCTTGAGTCCTTCTTGTGGGAGTGTCTGGAGTGGGAGACAAAGATGCGGTGGTCGCTTGTATACTGCATCTCGCTGATAGCCAAGAGTTGCATATCTTTCCGTCTGAGCCAAGATACTCTCTGTGGAAGAAGATACAAGGAAAATCGATTTTTTGTCCCCCGGTGCACAAGACCTGTCGTTTCATGAAGAAAATGGAATGTTGTCTGCGTCATCTTGTTGGAGTCATTGATAATTAATAAACTGTGTGGAAGTTATTTGTGCAGCCTCTGCCTGAGCGTTGGTCTCTGGTCCTACCTGAGCGAAAAGCGGGTCTGTTTACAGCTGCCGTAGCGTTCAGTTTTCTCCGTCCTCTGCAATTTATCTCTGTTATATCATCTTATCGGTATTGCACGTGGTATCCTATTGTTCACGTGTGTGTGTGTGTGTCCATGCGCGCATCCGTTAATAGTTCTACTGTACATTTAATAACTTGTACAATTTTGTTGATATTAGTTATAGTGCATTAGAAAATTAACATTCATAAATTTCAACCTGTTGTGTTGCTGTCCTGCTTGCAGTATGTATTGTCAAAGCATAGAGGTATACGTGCATCTGTTAATTATTGAATAGCCACTGTATTCCGTGTATTCTACACATATCTACATTGACCTTTTGTCAGAGAAGCTGAGCTACCAGAATCGAGAATATTTTTGTCATGCAGTGATTATTAACTCTAGTATTTCTAGTGTTGAAAAAGGTTCCCTATGTACGCTCTAGTATTGTCCTACACATCTAGTAGCAAAGGTAAACCTATATTAGAGTCCTAGACAGAAAGGGACAATTGGGTACTGTTGTTTAGAGTAATTGTGGACCTGGTTGTAAACCCATTGGCAAAACATGTTCCAGGACATATAATGCGGTAACTCTTATTTCCTCTGTTAAGGATAGATCTAAGTTTTGTTAACGAGAGTCAGTCATATTCTCTTGGAATGTAAAATTTAACAAAAGTTAATTAAGAGAGAAAGATTTGTCTGCATAAGATTTTATATATATTTCCTCAAGTGGATCTTCCTGCATTCATCATTAGACAACACTGGAGAATATGCGTAATAACTTAAAGCTGCTTTCCTCTTAGAGTTTAATAAATTGTGTGAGCTATGGATTTGTGTGCATTTGTGTATATTTTTTTCTTTTGTCTGTATTCACCTAGTTGTGCTTGCGGGGGCTGAGCTCTGCTTTTTCAGCCCACCTCTCAACTGTCAATCAACTATTTACTAACTATTTTCCCTTCACCCCACACCACACACACACACACACACACCAGGAAACAGCCCGTGACAGCTGACTAACTCCTAGGTACCTATTTACTGCAAGGTAACAGGGGCATCAGGGTGGAAGCTCTGCCCATTGTTTCTCGCCGGCGCCGGGAATCGAACCCGGGACCACAGGATTACGCGTCCAGCGCGCTGTCCAGTCAGCCACCGGGCCCCTAACAGCTGTGTGTGTGTGTGATAGGTTTACTAGTGTTTATTTACTTGTCAGACTATGTTTAGATATATATTTTCAAGTTGTTGGTGTGTAAGTTGGTTCCAAGGGTTGTCATAGCCAGGGGGGTGGTAATGGGGGACGAGCTCCCATTACCTATAAAAAGCTCCCGTACGGCATGCGTCTCAAATAGCCTCTGACAACCAAGTCCAGCTCCTGGCCTGCACGGGTGGCTTAGTCTCTAAGTCCGGCGGAACTGCTTTTACTGACAGGAGAAGGGGCGCGGGCGTGCCTCTGGTGCCTTAAAACCAGTTGCTCTGGGTAGATGCGACTCGTTAGCCTGGGAAGGCAGCCCATCTAGGGGAAGAAAAGCCCTGATCTTAAACCTCCACTGCCTTGCGGCCATACCCCTTTTTCGGGGAAAGGCTTCAGGAGTCAACCTCGAGGAAAAATCCGGAGTTGGAGCCCCTAAGGCAGTGCGTTGTCGATTTCGATCTCGCTCTGGCAGCTCCTGCGACGGTGCTGGAACCATGTGTATTGGTATTTGCCTTTCCATTGGATAATTTCAGCAACGTGGAGAGGGGGGACCTGCTGCCTGAGTAACAACTTCTCCTCCATATCGATCTACCCAGGCTTTGCACCCTGGATGCCCATACTACTAGTGTGCGAGTGTCTGCGCACATATGCAAACAATTTCTTCCTTTATGCAAATACAAAATATAGACAAATAAAAAAGAAAAAGTCTTTTTTAAATATTATTTATTTAAATGAAGCTCTTATTAAAGTTAAAATAAAGAGGAACTTCAGAGATGGAGCGTAATTATATTAATAAGATGAGCATACAAGAAGTAGAAGCCTGTTAAGGGGAATGATAAGGAGTATGGTAAGATAAGGTAAAAGGAAGAGGCTGTAAAGACAAGGTACTCGGAAAGAGGAGGTGCTAGGAAAAAGCAGCATCTATAAAGATAAGAACTCAGAAAGAGGAGCATTTTAAGATGAGGTTCTTGGAAAGAGCAGCATTTTAAGGTAATGAACATAAGCAGAGGATATTCTCAAACGTTTCTGTGTATTATGCAAGGTTTGCTCCTTCACTCAATGACTAAAATTTCCATAATTCATCCCCCGGAGATTAGTGTAAATATTAGTTGAATTACCCTCATAGACTGGAGTGTAAACACAAAATGAAATGAGGGACGTGAGCCAAAGCGTCAGAGCCAGAAAGGAAAAGGCGAGCCTAAGGAGCTGCAGCACAACCATCAAGTACATTTAACTTACAAGAGAACCTAACCTCTCAAGGAGTCTTCAAGGATCCTTAACTTCTTCAGGAGCCTCCAAGAGATCCTAACTTCTCCAAGAGATCTTAACTTCCCAGGAACCTCGAAGATATTCTAACTTCTCCAGGAGCTTCGAAGAGATCCTAACTCGAAGAGATTCTCTAGGAGCTTTGAAGAGATGCTAACTTCTTCACGCGCTTCGAAGAGATCCTAACTTCTCCAGTAGCCTCCAAGAGATCCTAACTTCACCAGGAGCCTCGACGAGATCCTAACTTCTCCAGGAGCCTGTAAGAGATCCTAACGTCACCAGGAGACTCCAAGAGATCCTAACTTCCCAAGGATCCTCCTGGAGATCCTAACTTCACCAGGAGCCTCCAAGAGATCCTAACTTCTCCAGGAGCCTCAAAGAGATCTTAACTTTTCCAGGAGCTTCGAAGAGATCCTAACTTCCCCAAGAGCCTCCAAGAGACCACCGGATATAAAGAAAGGTTCATTAAAGACCTCCTCAGACAATCATAACTTCCATAGTCATTTGCAAAACTTTGATAAGAGGAACCCCCGCTGGCTTCTCGGGCCAGATGAACTTTGGATTGAGGGGAATTGCTCTCTTGATGGGCAGTGGGTTCTCAGACATAAAAGTTTAGCGAATGATGGAGTAGTGGTTATCGTTCCGGAGAGGCAGGGTAGTAGACCCGAGTTCGAATTTTTCACCTGGGAGGCATTGTGGTGACTCGCATTCGAATTTTTCACCTGGGAGGCTGTGTTAACACCCATGTAGGTGAACCTGGTATCCAGGTGATAACCGGGCTGTGTTACCACTTATTTAGGTGAAATCGTTTCCTGCTGATATCTGTTTTCCACCAGTTTCTCGTAAATTGAAAATCGGTTTTCAAATAAAAACAAAAGTGAGGAACTATGCTTTTCTATCTAGATAATTCTTGAAACCAGCACAATGATTGACAGTAAGTCAATTTCTAAACACTTATGACCTTTGTCAAGTTTGGCCTTTATCGAGACAAAATACAAAAATAAATTAAGTTTGTTTATAAGTTTGCTGAATATAAATTCTTCGTTTTCAGAGAATATAATCAGTAGGTAAATACCGGATTTAGGACATACCTAATGGATAAATAGATTAGTATAATTCAATGGATACAAATATTTTGTCCAGTACCTCTTGATAATTAAATTTCAGGTAAACGTGATCAATATTTACATTTAGCAGTGTCTTCATACGCCACGATTCGGTCAGCAACATTTTTCTCTTAATTATTCCAAATTATATTTGGTATAATGCAAATAGTGGCGAACAGAGGGCGTTAGTGTCAGGGTGACATTGATTGTGGTAACAATTTACTATTAAGGATAACATAAATTGATTTTTCATTCCACATCAGAATGGAGATTTTTTCCTACTTAAATTATTATTTTTATGATGCATAGCAAAGTGGAGATTAGACGTTGTGGGTGCTACAAAGGCTTCATCCAAGATGACTTAGCCAACCAGTTTCAAATGAGATTGTTTGATCATCCGTTACATTTAGAATAGTTCAGTAATTGTTTATTATATTATCTAGTGATCATATATCTACTTGCACGGATAAGAATAAAATGTTGAAGTAGGACAAGAGGACGAAGGTTCAAACTGGAAACACAAATGAATGAAAGAAATGTAAAGAAATATTCATATCCTTTAAGAGTGGTCAACCAGTGGAATGCACTGAAAGACTAGGTTGTGGAAGCCATCTCTTTCTACAACTTTAAGACCAGGATCGACAAAGATTTCGAACATCAGGATAGTAAACGAATATCCCCATAGGCACACCAAGACTAATAGACGGGGCAAAATAAGAGCTAGACTTTACTTAACCGAGAAAACTAATTCACAAGCACTACCACTGAGCCACCACTTACCCTCCGACACCACAATCATCACTACCACCCACCCACCGACACCACAGAATACTAACTCAGAATATGCTCAGAATACTAACGACCATACCTGCAGAATGCATATATAACGGTTTCATTTGTTTCAAGACCGTTGTATTTCTCCCCTGTGTAGAGTTTCACTCAGACATACCTGAGAGGAAAAATATTTGTGGATCAATATCATTTTCCTGGGGGTCTTTGAGGAGGGGAGGAAAGCCGTGTGTGATCTCCAAGGACGAAACTCTTTCATTGTTATTTTTGTGTGTGCTTTGCTCCTTTTGAGCAACGTATGCTGCTCAAAATCCTCTTTTTCCCTTCTCGTTCTCCTTTGCCAACTTGGATCTCCTTTCCAATAGTCTTCTCTACATGGGTCTTATTCAGCAGACGAAAATCCTACTTGGGGAAAACGTCATCCCAAAGAACCCTCTGCCGGGGGTTCCGATCCAGCTGAAGTGGAATTAAAGTCCATTTCATTTCAGAGTTTTTCTCGAACAAAGTACTCTTCACTTGATCCTGTTTCACGTGGAGTTTCTTAAACGAAGGCTAGAGGAACGTAGACTAACTCCAAGGCACAAATTTACTTGAAGGTGAAGAGAGACATCAGGTATAAGCAAACGTTGCTAAAGGTACCGTTCTTCCCAGGACTCGAACCCGGTTGTGAGCCATCTGCGCTGACCACTACTATATAGAGCATCACATGCTTGGACATGCTCAGTGCGAAGCAGTGCTAAACAGTGTCTCTAATTTAAAGGCTCAACATTGACTGAAAGAATTAACATTTAGTCTTTCAGAACATGTTCTCAAACAATGGTCGTGTGGAGAATCTCTCTCAGCCATGTCAGCTAATTATTTAGATTCTTTACTAGCTTCAAGGCTATGTAAAGAAAGCTTTCTTTATTCACTAATCTCCCTGAAAAAAAGCTCAAAATTGGGTGGAAATTGAGCAAGCTTGAAAACCCCTCTAGACGCAAACTGTATGCCAAGAAGTTTTTAAGATTACCGTCGATTATTGGTTAAGCTTACCGAGCCGTATACGTCGGAGGGGATGGGGCAGGCGAGCTTGGCGTCCTCCCCAGGCAAGACATTGACGTGACTGTTGTTGGCCACTGTCTCTCCCACACCGCCGCCCAACGCCCCGCCGCCCACCTCCACTTCCAGCTGCCCGGGGCCCACCACCCCATCTCCAGCCACCGCCACTAGCAGCGTCGCCACTGGAAACAGAGAAAATTCATTGAAAGTAGATTGCAAAAGATCACTTGGTTATTGTATAATATTTAATGTGGATATGTCAGAATCCTTGACCTACCATAAGTCAGTGTTTGATAAAATGGTCAGCAAAATATAGATACAAGGAATGGTAATTATAAGAAAAAAAATCAGAGATACTATAGAACGTGAAAATGATATATGGGTAGGAAGCTTGGATATGACAAAGTGAACTATAGATGTCCACCAAGTATTCGAACGCCAACTCTGCATGAAGCGAGGCCGTAACTCTACCAAACAATCCTAGTGGTCTCAATACATGTGAAAATATGTATTTAACGAAATCTCGAGAAAAACTATATGTAATATGCAACTGTTAAAGAAAATTGTCCAATATAATCGAAACTAGCAATCATCTTAAAGTATATTTATGTCTTGAAGAAATTGTTTTGTGTAGATTGTAAAACATGTTTCCTCTTCGACAATAATATTGTATCAGATAGCTATAAAATATCACCAATTTATTTTAGGTCCAAAAGATTCCTAACGCCCTATTTTGGTAACAAAAGAATTGAGGATTATTTTTGTGAACTCCCAGCAATAATCAAAATAATAATGCTAATAACAATAATAAATGGCAATTTGAAAGTTTTATAATGTAGGGAAGTCATTTAGAGATAAAAAGAAACGTATAAATTGCCAAGACTGAATATCTCATTGTCTGTAATTGGTCGTTTACGCTAATGAACATTATAAATATTGGGCTTGGCCATTTTAAATGTCATTGTTACGTCTAAATTAAAGGATTAGTCAACGTTTACAGTTCAACGAGGTGAGCATGGCGCAGTCGCTCCAAGAGAGGCGCACGCGCGCGTCATACTCAAATACATACTGTATATCCATACACACACGCATACGTGTACATTACACACACTCAGATATAGTAGATTGACGGTTGAGAGGCGGGACCAAAGAGCCGAAGCTTAACCCCCACAAGCAAAACTAGATGAGTATACACACATAGCCACACACACAACACATACACTCGCAGTATCCAAGAAAGAAAACCTGATTTTGTTCATAATATTTTTAATTTTTTTCCCTTTGGATTGCAAAATTTACAGTTGATGTGGCGAACTCCCTATTTAGGCCTTAAGATTAAGGGGGTGGATACAGGTGTAATGGGTTGTACTGCTGATACATCCAATTCCCTATTTCTAATTTATTCTCCCAGACTAATAAGAATCAGAATCCTATATACTGGAAATGTCTCCCTCCCACCGTAACGAAAAGCCTTGGATATTTATCATATTCATCGATAAACTCACATACTCTTCTCAAGATCTTCACCGGTTCTCTTGGCTCTTTAACACATACAAACCCTTAAAACTCTAAAGTGCACAGTTATGTAAAAGTACTTTATCCAAAAACGCATGACTACAAATAGTTAACGCAAATGGCAAAAATACGCGAAATAGCGATTTAAGCAGGGCAATGGTTAGCATCCCATTTAAAACTTTTTTTTAATAGGTCATGAATATATATAGTACTATTATTGAATCTCGATGAATATGCTTGATTTTTGTTTTAAATTTGCTTTTGTGGGTTTATGCTCGTACCCCTCTATATATATATATATATATATATATATATATATATATATATATATATATATATATATATATATATGGAAGGGAGTACCACCTCTAGCTGGAAGAAGGGGGACCCATAGCCTCGGAGGAAACCACGCATAACGCATTAGAGGGAATGTTTAGATCCCCTCCAATACAGTTTCTGTGTGCTTTTCTCCTACCACCCCCTTCCTTTTTTATTTTTTGTGCTTTATTATGCATTTGATGGTTACAAGATATACATGGGTTGATACAAAAATAATAATGCAAAAAGGTGCTTAAAGGTCATGGATCTCTTGAAAAACACAACAATGGGAAACATTGATGAATGATATATATATATATGATATATATATGTATATGTATGTATATATATATATATATATATATATATATATATATATATATATATATATATATATATATATATATATATATATATATATGTATTATGCATGCTATGGTATATACTCAAAATTAAGAATGCATAAGTTGATGAAGTGCGCAAATATGTATAAATGCGAGAGAATATACTCACAAATATGCCTACAAATTAGAATCAACCTCCGAGGGTGAACGCCGGATGCTTAGGGCTATTCTCACCCGTTTTTGTTTTCTTTGTTTTTACATTGGGGGACATAATTGGGGACAAATAAAGTGGAAAAAAGGAGGGAGTACGTACAAAGATTAATCCGGTGTAATGGGCGAGGGGTTTTGAGCAGTTTTGGGCGTGGCGTTTTTGAGCAGCATTTTGCATGTGCTTCCTCCTTTTTTCCTCTTTATTCGTCTCCAATTATGTCCCTCATTCGTCCTCCATTTATGCCCTATTATTCCCTCCTTTACCCCGTACTGCTTACCTGTTAGTATTATTTACCTGACCTCCCTAATGGTATAAATCCAATGCGTTTCAGTCCCATTCCCATGTTGGAATCCCATTAAATGAGAAAGCCGATGAAACTGCTAAATTGGCAACTCGTCATCCAGTGATCCACAAAATGAATCCAACCCAGCCTAGAGTACATAAAAAAACACCATCACAAAAAACTCCCACACCTCAACAAAGCCCATCTACAACAGAGTGTAGCAGAAGGTTCGCCCTCTGCAACAAGGTATCTTCAGGTCACCAAGTTAGAGAGGTTAAATATCCCGAAAGGAATGCACAGGGAAATAGCAGTTCGGTTATATAGACTACGTCTAGGTTACAGATGCAATTGGGAAATTAGTGAACCCAGAGAGTGGGAATGCCCCTTCTACCAAATAGAAGATGCCACTACTTCACTATCTCCTGATGTGAAGCAGCCAAGGACATCAGAAGAGCTTTAAGATTCCCTGAATCTTGCAGTAACCACCCTGAAGCCATCAACACTGCCACTCTTATGGTAATGAAAAGTGTCCAGCAGCTGGACACCCTCATAAATACTTTCAAGCAGTATCCTCCCACGCGATAGCAGCCACATAGTAAGGAATGACGCTTTAAATGCGAGCACAGCACGCAGTATATCCTTTCACGACCAAAGATCACATTCACTCCAAAAAGAATCTACCACTTACTGGCAATTCATGCCCGTGCCACCCCTTGCTTAATCTTCATCAATCAATCAATCTACAGTCCCATCACTTTAAGAATGAATCATGTAGGTTTGAAACACCGTGTTAATTTATAATAAGTGTAATACATTCTACAGTTAATTATTTCTTTTAGTTTACCTCGAACAAAGATGACATTTGGAGAAAGCCTCTTCCAATTAAACCAAGATGCAAGAGCACAAGTCAAAGGGATTAGAAGCCCTAAGCAAGAAAATAATAAATACAGAATATGCAGTCATATTCAATGAAGCATGGGAAAGTGTTCTAAAGTTGTGTGTACATATATGTATATATATATATATATATATATATATATATATATATATATATATATATATATATATATATATATATATATATATGTCGTACCTAGTAGCCAGAACGCACTTCTCAGCCTACTATGCAAGGCCCAATTTGCCTAATAAGCCAAGTTTTAATGAATTAATTGTTTTTCGACTACCTAACCTACCTAACCTAACCTAACCTAACTTTTTCGGCTACCTAACCTAACCTAACCTATAGAGATAGGTTAGGTTAGGTTAGGTAGGGTTGGTTAGGTTCGGTCATATATCTACGTTAATTTTAACTCCAATAAAAAAAATTTGACCTCATACATAATGAAATGGGTAGCTTTATCATTTCATAAGAAAAAAATTAGGGAAAATATATTAATATAGGAAAACTTGGCTTATTAGGCAAATCGGGCCTTGCATAGTAGGCTGAGAAGTGCGTTCTGGCTACTAGGTACGACATATATATATATATATATATATATATATATATATATATATATATATATATATATATATATATATATATGCTAGCAAATACGTGTACATATGTGGGTGTATGTTCGCAAGTATTGATACATACCGTACTGTACAATCACATATATGAATACCGTTTTACCCAGAAATGGTTAGAATTAGTGCAGCTGTAGATGATCTAGGTTTTAAGTCAACCCCAGAAAACTAGGTCAAAACGTGATGTAAATTTCCAAAGTTCATTTAACAAGTCATTAACCTACCTAATGAAGTTCAACGAGGGGGTAAACTGTCAGTATACTTTTTATGTGTTTACCAGTCGCATGGTATGAGTTACTTTGTGGAATTATGGCACAATTATGTGTGGTATATTGCACACGTTCCTTTGATCTTGAAACCCAAGCAGGTTTTCTTTTATACAGCCTTCATCTAGTGTAAGTAAAAAAAATAAACACATACATACATACATACATACATACATATATATATATATATATATATATATATATATATATATATATATATATATATATATATATATATATATATATATATATATATATATATATATAATGCCAGTCGCTACAGGACGAGTTTCGCTGAAGGACTCTTCAGCATCTTTAGAGGCAAACAGAGAGTGAAATGAGCACGTTTGACAGCGTACATTCAATATTGGGTGAGGTGAAGTGTTAGTTAAGGGAACTATCCAATAACATAGTTCAGTCTCTTAATTTTTGAGATAAAATATGTGAATAATATGTGAATTTCCATTCTAACCTCATGGTTTTTCATAGGGAATATACATATATTTATATATATTGCACAATAATAGTTATTCCCCTCAGTGAATATACCGATATATGTCTCGGCCTAGACAGCTGCTATAAATGATTCTGTCCATCTCTGTCTGTCACCTACACCTCCCTTGCTCCTCTGTCCTCCAAGCGCTCATAAATCTTACTCGACCAAGCTATCATTTCTCACCTGAGAGCATCTATCACAACAATATCCTGGTATATTTTG